GACTTCTCTCCCCAGGGCTCTGAACTAGAGGATCTTCTCCATTTACCTACTCTCCTATGTGACCTCCAGTCCAGGACTTTGTGGCATCTTCCCCTCCTCTACTATGCTTGAGCCATGCTGGCGGCCTTGGTTTTCTGAACACGTTCAATGCATTCTCAAGAGCCTTCAGGACTCTGCATTAGCTGTTCTCTCGGCCTTGAATGCCCTTCCCCATGACCTTCACATGGCTGCCTCCTTTCACTCACCAGCAGCTTACACTTCACCTCCTCAGAAAGGCTTTCCTCGACACCCAACTAAAGTAGCCACCCCGGTGCTCCCAATTACATCATCATATTTCAATCTTCTCCAAAGCACACTCTCTGTGTCCCCAACTGGAATGCAAGCTCCATTGAGGCAAGAACAATCAAAACTTCCTGCCCTCGTGGAGCTTACAGTCTGATAGGTGAAGTCAAACAAAAGAAAAAGGTAACTTATAAAGCATATTAGAATATGATACATGTTAGAGAAAGATAAAGCATGGAAGAGTGATAGGGATTGCGTTTGTGTGTGTCTTGGGAAGGTGTTTGCGATTCTAAATACGGTGGTCAGGAAGAGCCTCACGGAGAATTGACATGTGAATAGATTTGAAGGAGGTAAAGGAAACACCAGAGCAAAGCTTCTGACGTGGGAGTGTGCCAGGCAGGCTGTGAGAAGAACAGGAGGGTCAGTGTGGTTGCTGCAGAATATGCGAGGAGGAAAGTAATAGGAAATGAAGTCACAGAGTGTGGGGGCGAGGGGAAGATCGTGAAGTGCTCCTGTAAGGCCTGGATCTTAACTCAAAGGACCAGCGAAAGTTAGCAGAAGGCTTTAGTACAGAATTAACACTGTCTGAAGTATGTTTTGTCGTGATCTCTGGCTGCTGTGTTGAGAATAGATTGCAGGGGATAAGGGCAAAAACCGGGGAGACCAATTATAAGGCTATTACAGTAATTCAAGAAGAGACACAGGACAATCCACCTAGAAGGGTCCCAGGAGGTCCTGTGCATGCTCCTATTGCTTATCACTGTGCCTCGTCATGGTGGGTGTTCACTACATATTTGTTTATTTTAAATGATAACACACTGGATTCAGTGAACAAGTGCCAAATGAGGGAGTTATTTCTAGGAATAAATTCTCAGGACCTATGGATATTTTAATCCAGAATTACGTTGCTAACACTGGATTTTCGGCCTTTTTACTCAGTCCTATTTGTACCTAAATAGCACCTACCAAAGAAATACAGCACTGATGGGTATTTATTTCAACTTACTTTAAACTCTGTAAAGGAGTATTAAATAGGCCCAGTGAAACTGTAAAGAAATTCAATGGATCCTCACTTTACCAATAACCTACCATGTCAACCTAATATTCCGGTGTCTATTTCATGCAAGGCATCCCATTAGGCACTGGGGAATGTTTAAGACAAACTGTAAAGAAATTCAATGGATCCTCACTTTACCAATAACCTACCATGTCAACCTAATATTCAGGTGTCTATTTCATGCAAAGCATCCCACTACGCACTGGGGAATGTTTAAGACACGTTCTTTTTCTCAACTTATAATCAAGTTGGATAGATAAGACACACAACATACAGACTGATAACTACAAATGCGAGACCATGCACATCAAGGGTTAAAGTCAGTTATTTAAACTGGATCTTACAGAGTGGCTCAAACTTGGCAAATGGATAGGAGGAAGGAGAATAGTGAATCAGAACATGAGTTTGCTGGTATGGGACTTGTAATGAATCCTCCACCTGGAGTAAAAAATAGTAAAAACAAAAGCCAGGGAGGAGTTGGCCCTCAAAACACGTCTCTCAAAACAAACGGGGATAAAAGTAGAGAAGATGACAACTTTGAGGTCCCCAACACAAAAGACACAGTAAGCAGGCAGCCGTTCAGAGTAGCCTACGTGACTTTGTGTAACTGTACTTGTATTTCTGATGTTTTTGCAGCCAACAGGTCAAACTACCAGTCACTGTGGGCCCCTGATGAGAAGCTGGGTGTCCCCATACCGAGCACAGCTGCCTAAGTGTCTAACATAGAAAACACCCTGGCGACTAATCCGCAGTGGCTGCAAGTCCGAGTTATTACAAACCGGATGGGGACAGTCCGGCGGTACTGACCCCTAAGTCCAAGGCGTGCACCGGCAACAAGGAGCGACAACAGGTCGCGTGAGCTCTCGAGGCCCCGTCTGGACTCGAAGCCAAGGCGGACGTGGAGGCCCAAGCTGAGCACCCCTGGGCGCCCCGGAAGGCCGGCGACGGTCGCCGCTGGGCCAGGCCGCGGGCTGTGCGGGGCCGACGCCGGCGTCCGGGGTCCCGGCCGTCACCAGAGTGCCCGCCCTCCTAGAGCCGGGGCCAGGCCCAGCGGGGTGGGCGCCGCCAGCTGGACTAGGAAAGCGCTTCCCCTCTTGCCCGCCCCATTTCCGGTCACCCCATCCCATTTCCGGTCACCCCGCCCCACTTCCGGTCACCCCGACTTCGGGGCAGAGGCAGCGAGATCCGCCTGGGAAGTTTTTAAACACGCATCTCTGTCCTCGTCCCGCAGCGAGCCGTTCGCTCTCCACGTCCCCTGAGGCTGTGCAGGAGGCCGAGCCGGGTGGCGGTCAGAGGTCCAGCAGAGTCGCGGGGACGCCGAGACGCAGACGCGAGGCGGACGGCTGGCCCGGGGCGCGCGAACGCGGAAATGGACGCAGATTGATGCTCCTCGCGTGCCGTAGCCGCCCCCGGACACCCGGCTGGGAACCCGGACGGCGCCCCGCGGTGGACAAGCAGTCTCCTGCGCGGAGAGTCCGCAGCACCACTCCTAGGGTGAGTCGGCGACCACCCACCTAGCCTCGGGTGGCGGTGGCAGTCGTGACAGCTGAGGAGGGGGTTCGGACGTCGCTGTCCCTAACTGAGAGTTTGATAGGTGGGACAGTGTCCGCCCACCCCCCCCTTTCTCCCCCACGTCCCGCGGGTCCTCAGAGGTGGGGCTGGGGCACAGGAAGCCCGTGCGGGCGAGGCGCTCCGGGGACGAGGGACTGTCGTGGTCCCTCCCGGACAGCCCTGGCTGGGATCAGGCCGTTAGCACTGGGGTGTCGCCTCGCCGCGAACCCACCCCCCCTGGGCGCTTTCTCACCTGCTCCGGGCGCCCCCTCCGAGCGAGGGATCTGGGGACGTTTCCTTCCCGGTGTCTTTAGTGACAGGTCCCTTAGCAGTTTGGTGACAGACCTCCGTCGCTGTCCCTGACGCGGAACACATCCTTTAGGATCATCTGGGTCATTCGGCTGCAGTATTAGAGATGATCAGAAAACACAAGTCATCTGACGGCTGTCGTCGTCCCTAAAACCCGCGTGGGGGCTTCGTGCCTCGGGGACTGATGGCTTTAAGTTGGGTCACTCTCTGGCCGTGACATAAGTTATGGAAGAGGCTATGGCCATTATTTTTGCCCCTGTTCGTGGTTCCTGAATTTCTGGTTGCTGAACAGAGAGTTTTGAGGTTTTGATTCATATGTGTAAGTTAATGCCCCAGGCTGGGGTTATATTTAGGTGGTAAACCAAGGTAGATGCAGTTTTTTCCTCAATAAAGAAAAAGTAATAGATTGGGCCCGTGCAGATTGCTGTGCAATATAATGACGGAATTGCTGGAAATGTGGGAAGCTCTGGTTTCGTTTCCTTTACTTCTGCTTAGTCATCAAGACTTCCCTAGAGCTATTAAATTCTGTTTTATTAACTCATTTAATCCTCCTAACAATCCTATGATCTGAATACTATTATTATTCTCATTTTATAGACAGGAAAAGCTAAATGAATACCTCTGTTTGATTAGTATTTGCCATTATTTTATTTCAGTATTATTAATACAAAATTCCATGTTAGAGATTTTTTTTTTTTTTTGGTGGCTGGCTGGTAAGAGGATCCGAACCCTTGACCTTGGTGTTACCAGCACCACATTCTAACCGAGTGAGCCAACCTGCCAGCCCATGGTGTTAAAAATTTTCAACTGATGTATTTTTTAAAATCAATATTTCCTGCACTCATCAACCAAAATTATTTAGTATATAAGTACACTGGTAAGAATGTTGGTCAGATTTTTTTTATTGTAATAACATCCTGTTACCTGGTAAATATGCATAAGATAACATAATTTAAATTTAAAAATAGTTATGATACAAGGGAGAATGACACATGCTTATTTTTCTTTCCCTCTCTTTTTTTTAACCCAGATAACCTTTAAGTGAAACTTGCTTAAAATTTTAGATCATACAGAGAAGAGAGACTCCACTCAACAGAATCAACAATAAGGTGGAAGAGAGTAATGTTGTCCTTAAACAACCTACAAAATATCATCTGTAACCCGGTAACTGATTTCTATCAAATCACTTTTATCTATGGCAGGATTGGGAGCAAATCTAATTGTATACTAATTATCCATTGGGAGATGGGGCAAGAATAAAATTCAGTAAACATGTAAAGCACCTGCTATGTGATAGGGACTGTGGTGGGTGCTGACTTAAAAACAGATAGGGCTCTTGTCCTGTAGTGGAGGAAGCGGTCACAGTGACAATACAAGGTGATGAGAACCGTGTTATGAGCAGAGGACGTGGGAGTATGGTGGAGGGAATGCAAACTTTGGGCTCAGATAGTTATAAAGCCTAATTTTTAAAGGATAACAGGTTTCTTACTCTGCAAGCTTTTTATTTTCTTCTTTAATTAGAAGTGTTCATAAGTTAAGGTCTGAACTTTTTCTCTCTGCCTTTCAAATACTGATTGGTACTTGAGCAGGGAAGATGTCCAAAGCCAGTGGTGAGATGGAGAATGTCCAGTCCAGGCTGGTCCAGGAACCCCTGGTGACTGTAATTGCTGAAAATTGCAGGATACCTCCTAGGCAGTAAAGAACTTGTTTTAGTTTTAGGTGGTGGTGAGAATCACTAGAAATGTCTAATTTCCACTTATCTGAAGCTGAATCCTGAGTTTAGGTCTGAGATAGGACAGCTGGTTTTTTGATAAACCCAGTAGGAGACTCCCAGGCAATAGGAAAGGTGCCAGAAACCAGGCTTGTCAGTGCATGTTGGTTCAAGTTTCGCTGTTTTCTTTGTAGCTGAAATTCTTTTTTCCCCTAAGTTTTAATGTTGTCGTGTAAGAATATTCAACACCATATCAAGCAAACTCAGTTATAGGAGAAATAGCCTTCAGTGGTAGCAGGTTTAAAAAGGAAGACTCACTGAATTTGAAGCCAGTAAGACATTTAACATGATTTTGTGTATGTTAGAGTTAAAAACATCTCAAGGCCGTAGACTGACTTTGTGCAAAGATTTAAAAAAATAAAACTAAATAAAAACCCAGGCTTCCTGCCAAGAGTGACTGGTCACCTTGGCTCAGGCCGGGGGGAGGGAATGGTCAGGTTCTTCCATTCACTGTGCCCTTCACACACAGATGCCTTATCTGAGTGTGATTTGGAAAATAATTTTATAGATTAAAATCCCTGCATAGCTTGATTCTGGTGTACNAATCACTAGAAATGTCTAATTTCCACTTATCTGAAGCTGAATCCTGAGTTTAGGTCTGAGACAGGACAGCTGGTTTTTTGATAAACCCAGTAGGAGACTCCCAGGCAATAGGAAAGGTGCCAGAAACCAGGCTTGTCAGTGCATGTTGGTTCAAGTTTCGCTGTTTTCTTTGTAGCTGAAATTCTTTTTTCCCCTAAGTTTTAATGTTGTCGTGTAAGAATATTCAACACCATATCAAGCAAACTCAGTTATAGGAGAAATAGCCTTCAGTGGTAGCAGGTTTAAAAAGGAAGACTCACTGAATTTGAAGCCAGTAAGACATTTAACATGATTTTGTGTATGTTAGAGTTAAAAACATCTCAAGGCCGTAGACTGACTTTGTGCAAAGATTTAAAAAAATAAAACTAAATAAAAACCCAGGCTTCCTGCCAAGAGTGACTGGTCACCTTGGCTCAGGCCGGGGGGAGGGAATGGTCAGGTTCCTCCATTCACTGTGCCCTTCACACACAGATGCCTTATCTAAGTGTGATTTGGAAAATAATTTTATAGATTAAAATCCCTGCATAGCTTGATTCTGGTGTACTGATGATTCCTGTAATTTCTGGAGTCAGCGCCCTCAACTATGGAGTTGGAACAAAGTAAACAGACTTCATTTCTTGAGGAAGGGGGTCTGGAAAAGTAATGCCAGAAATGCCTTCAGGCCTTCAGAACGGTCCAGTTGCTGTTCGAGGATAGTTCAGGATAACATGTTTTCAAGGGAAATATTATTTTGGCAAATAGCAGAAAAAATTTTTTTCTTTTTTAGATTCTCTGTTTTATAATCAGTTTCACAAAAGTGTAGAAAAGGTCAGAGGTAAAAGGACTGAACTGGATGGTAAAAAAACAACATTTTGCTCCGTCTTAACCTTTCACGGTTACTGTTCACAGTATCGAGTGGCCAGTTGCACTGAGTCCTTCTCCCACTTACAGCCGGTTGCCCGTCCAGTGTTCAAAAGACAAAAAAGGCTGCAAATAGTTTAGATATTTTAAATTGATCAATTAGGATATTTTACAAAGTAAACTTAGAAAAACGTTTCTTGCATCCTGGTTATTTTATTTTGCTAGTGATCAGTTCGAACAACAAGGAAGTGTTTATTGAGTGTCTAGTATGTTCTTTATTAGGCATTATGAAGACATAGAACTGCCACCTTTTAACTTTTATTAACGTTTCTAAAATGTTGGGCCGCTTCGGTGTAGACACATTCTGTTCCTATTAACTTTTCTTGGAAAAGGTGAAGTCATATCATAACCGCCCTATGTATTTTTTTCGTTTTAATATGTTTCTTTGACTAGTTCAATTGCTGGAATTCTAAAACTTAAAGAAGTCAGGCTCACTTTTCTTTCCATTCAAATGGCGTGAATAATTTGGAAGACAGTGTCTTCACTTTATACCAGAAATGCTGTGAGTGAAATCTTGTTTGCCAGTTCGTGGTCTGCCTGTGTATTTTGTTAGTGTTGCTGTTCATAGACTTCTTAAGATGCGAGTAAGTGCTAGCTGGTTAAGAAGTTATTTAGAAATGAAGCAGAATTGGTTGTTACGCCACCAAGTTAAGGAGCCACCTGTGAGCATTGATCCCACCTGGCGCTGAAAAGCTGGTCATTCCCGTGTCCTTCTGGTGGTTTGCCACCACACTGATCCTTTTTTCCTTCGTGTTCCAGGAACCTCCCTTCCTACCTTCCGATTTAATCTTAAAACGCAAAACAGCGAAATCTTTCCTTCCGAACCTCTGAGGTCACTTCCAGCCTTTGTCCTACTGTCCTCCTTCCTTTTGCCAACTGCCCTCCTGGTGAGAGTCGAATTCTGCTGCCTTGATTTCCCCACCGAGGCTCCGCCCTCTGTTTTTTTCCTCCATTAATTTCTTGCTTGGCTCTACTAGCAAAATCTTGTCTTGAACTGCTCTCTTTATTTTGTTCATGTCGATCACCTTTAGATCTTTTGAATATATATGCCTGGCCTTTTGCCTAATGTGACTCCGCCGCTCTCTCACGTGCCCTCAGACCCTGGGAGACAGTGAGCTCGGCTCTAAACCTCCCTCTTCCTTCCGGACCCCGCTTCCCTGTTGCAGTTTCTGTCTGCCTCCTGCTGTTTTACTTTCGCTTCCTCCTGTGTGACTAAGCTCCCAGTAGTTTGAAGATAATGTTTCCAAAATTTAAAACTGCATTTATGTCAAAACCAGTGGCTTTCCCTTTTTCTACTTGTATTTTGAAAATTTAAAGACAATATGTGCAAATGATTTTTTAAAATCCAGACAGTGCTTAACTGTTTCAATGAAACACCAGTTTTCCTTCTACCCTGGTGCTCAGTTCTCCTCTGCAAAGGCAATCATTTTTTACCAAGTTTTTTCAGCATGTCCTTCCTGAGGTATGTTGTGAATATCCAGAAGTCTCTGTGGTGTGTGTATCACCTTTTATGTATCCTGTTTTTTTACATCCATGCGGCATATTGTATGAACTATTTTGTACCCTTTTTCCACCTAACTCGTCTTGGAGATGTCAGTTCATCGAGAACTTCCTGACTTATTTTAACAGCTGCATAACTAGTCCATGTATAGATGTACTGTAACTTATTCAGCCAGTCCCCTGTTAAAGGACTGTTTCCTTTTGCAGTTGTGTCCATTGCTACGGTGTACAACCTTGGGTATGCATCTTGGTGCACAGGTGCTATTATCTCTGTAGGATAGATCTGTAAAAGTGGAATCATTGGGCCAAAGGGTAGGATATCCATTTCATTATCTTTATTTGCTTGGATCTTCCTTACTTTTTTCCATGTTAAAGTTACTGATGATTGTTTTGGTATTGAAATTCACTCATCTGTTGACTTCCTTGTTATTTCTGCCCTGCTCTGACTCATCCTTTGCTCTCTTTCTCTTTTTACCCCGTGTTGAGGTCCCCAAGACCACACCAAGTTTTGATAATTCACCAGCACAGTTGTGGTCATGGCTACAGTCCATTGCTGCGAAAGGGTATAGAGCAGACTTGCAAAGGAAAAGGCACCTGGAGTGAAGTCCCGGGGAAATCCCGTGCAGGGTTCCAAGGTCTTCTCCTGGTGGGGTCACACCTATAGGATGCCCTTAAATCCCCCAGCCACGAGCTGTGACAACACACGTGAAGTGTGGTCTCCCAGGGAAGGTCATTAGAGACTCAGTGCTCAGGGGCTTATTGGGGGCTGGTCACATAGGCTCCCTCTGTCTTGCACGTCCCAAAATTCCAGACTCCCAGAAGGAAAGCAGGTGTTTGCATAGCCATATTGTTTACATAAACATTTGAGGTACAGGAAACCAGCCTTATCAGTTAGGTGGTGGGTGCCCTCCTAAAATCCGAGGTGCCTAGACCCCAGCCAGGGGTCAGTGCTGTACAGAGGCCTTCCAAGGACAGCAGTCAGGCCTGCCATGTTATCTCTTCTGTTCAACTCCTGGGTTCAGAAACTACCGGGGCTTTGCCCCTGACTTTTCCCTCTTACTGTCTTTTCTCCTTTGATGTCTTAACTGATGATCTCCTCCACAGTGTTTCAGTGGAGGTTCTGGCTGTTCACCCAAGTGCATTCCCGCATCTCCAGCTGATTTCAGGACACTGGCTCTCAACCATCCTGCCAACCCTTCTCACCAAAAGTATTCACACCAAACTCATCATCTCCCCTCTGAAACCTGTTTCCTCCTCGGTTTTCTCACTTGTTTGATAGACCCTTGTAGACACTTTCCTTTGAAATATCCCTTGTATTTGTGTCCTTCCCCCTGCCCCGCCAGTGTCCACTGCCACCAGCCTGGGTCATGTCCTCATCTCCTCACACCAGGCTGCTGGAAGCAGTCGGACACCCATGTGACACCCTGGCCTCCAGTGTATTTTACCCCACTGGACTGTTGTTCCTGAACCCCACTTTGATGTGTCATTCCAGACCTGAGCCTGACCCCACTTTTCTTCATGCCCCTAATACTTACTGTAGTTCAGGTAGGTTTCATGTTTCCCTGCCTCTCTGCCTGGGTAAGCTGCTACTTCTACCTGAAGCGGCTTCCCCCTCCTCTCTGCCTCACTGTTTTATACCCAGCTCAAATCACACCTCCCTCCTAAACTTTCTCCGGCCACCTCAGAATTCTTTGTCACATTTGCCTGAAGCATTTATTTGACTCTGACTTACTGCCCCGTTCTTTTAGATGTTGAATTGGTCCAGGTTTGTAGTTGCAAGCAGTAGAAGCCAACTCTGCAATCTAAGCAGAGAAGGAATTTGTTAAATGGTATTGAGTCATTCTCAGAATCTCTAGCAGGGCTGAAAAACCAGGCCTGGAGACTACCTAGCCACAGACCACACACAAAACCATGCTGTAGGACTGACTTATCCTGTGAAGAGACATCTGTTGCCAGCACTGGACACAAATGCTACTGTGGCACTGGCAGTGCCACCAGTGCCACTGCTGCCTCTGACCCTGGCTGTGGCCCCCGTGACAGAGTGAATACTGCATCATCATGGCTTCTTCTTGGCACTGGTTCTAACTTGAGTCTGAGCTGGGAGGTCTGATGGACAGTTTTGTCCCATGCCCTTGCCTTCATGACAGTCTAGATGAGGCCTCATGTTCATAAGGTAGGAGGCTTTCAAGCTTTGGAAGGGGATTCTCGTTTTCGATAGCCAATCAGGATTTCACGTTTCCACTCTGTCTTTTCCTGGGTCTGTGACTTCTGCCAGCTGTATTATAGGCTCCTTGCAGCCAGGACTCTAATTCATCTTTCTACCTATAGTCTGCCTAATGGAGAGCCTGCGCACAGCAGACATTTAATAAGTAATTATCAAAAAGGCAAAGTACGATGAATCAGCAAGGATGTTTTGGCAAGTAACACCATACCTGACCGCGACATAGCCTTACGGCATCGTCTCCGGCGGTCATATCTGCACTTTTTTATGTAAATTAGTAACGATCTGTGAGGCACCAAAGCATCCAGCTTGGAGTTGCCTAGAAAACAGTGCCCTCTTGTCCCTCTTTACGGGCGCATGTAGTCGTGGGCTGACTGAGAGGCGGCAGGGCATCTTGTCTCACTACCATGGTCCAAAAAAGTTGAGTATCACTGATGTAACTTAGGGTCTTTTCCTAAGTAGAAACATTAAACCGGACAACTGAAGCAGCAAATGGCCCAAATTCCCAGCACAGTTGTTTCTCAGACTGGCACAACTTATTAACAGTTGTGAACAAGGTACTAGTGGTGGGAATAGAGCATTTGGTCGCAAAAATCTCTTTCTAACCCCCAAATTAAATATGTAGTAAAAACATATTTTTGTGGTTATAAAAATATAAATGCTTATTATAGAACTCTGGGAAATGTGAAAATATATGAAGAAGAGAATTAAAATCCCACCCCCCAAGAAAGCTATTGTAGTACTTTTGGCTTATTTCTTTGCAGTGTTTTCTTTTTCATGTTTATACTATTAGCTTAGTTGAAATCATACTATATATAGTTTTGTAGGTTACCATCTCACTGATAGTTATGTTGCTAATTTTTGAGTTATTAAACATTCTGCATAAACATAATTTTAACATATATTAAATTCAAAGTTATAAAAACCGTTTTCATCTTATTAAGATGTGTGCTGTGGAAGATGCTGNATTTCTTGACCATGGGAGCTACGCTGGACAGGTTTCAGCATGTGCGTTGACTTGAGGAGCTTGGCGTGAGGCATAATGATGTCTGGCCTGCATGTCCTGGTCACGTGCTCCAAAATGGGGGGTGGAGATGGTTGTGACTGACGCAGGAGGTGCAGCCACACAGCACAGAGCCCCAGCCAGTGGACAGTGGAGTCCTTTCTGGGGAAGGGGAATGACAAGATCTGACAGCGTCGTGCAGGTCACAGGCAGAGCTGTGTGCAAACAGACGCATCCACAGCCCTGCCCCTTCTGCCCACGGAGCCGAAGGGGCTGCACAGAGGAGACTGTGCCTGGACTAAGACCTTCAGCTTATGTGCCACCAATTCACAGCCACTTGTCTAGGGCCACCCTTGTTTTCCTATTTCTTGACCATGGGAGCTACGCTGGACAGGTTTCAGCATGTGCGTTGACTTGAGGAGCTCAGCGTGAGGCATAATGATGTCTGGCCTGCATGTCCTGGTCACGTGCTCCAAAGTGGGGGGTGGAGATGGTTGTGACTGACGCAGGAGGTGCAGCCACACAGCACATAGCCCCAGCCAGTGGACAGTGGAGTCCTTTCTGGGGAAGGGGAATGACAAGATCTGACAGCGTCATGGTCGCAAAAATCTCTTTCTAACCCCCAAATTAAATATGTAGTAAAAACATATTTTTGTGGTTATAAAAATATAAATGCTTATTATAGAACTCTGGGAAATGTGAAAATATATGAAGAAGAGAATTAAAATCCCACCCCCCAAGAAAGCTATTGTAGTACTTTTGGCTTATTTCTTTGCAGTGTTTTCTTTTTCATGTTTATACTATTAGCTTAGTTGAAATCATACTATATATAGTTTTGTAGGTTACCATCTCACTGATAGTTATGTTGCTAATTTTTGAGTTATTAAACATTCTGCATAAACATAATTTTAACATATATTAAATTCAAAGTTATAAAAACCGTTTTCATCTTATTAAGATGTGTGCTGTGGAAGATGCTGCTGTGTATTTTTGGAAGCAGCTGTGGCTCAAAAATCAGTGTGGAGGTGTCATTCTTTCCACGTTCTCTGCACCCAAAACCCAGCCCCTCTGATGTGTAGGCACAGTCTCTACCATCTGTTGTGGTTTTTGTTTTCTGGTCCATGGGCTTCTGTCCGTCTCCACCCACGCTGCCCTCAGCAGCCCCCGTGACACCAAGTGGCTAATTGGCTTTGAAACCTCTCGTCTCCCTGCCTAAGGCAAAGGGAGCCTGCCCCCAGCTTGCTGTCCGGCAGCTGCTAGTCACTGCTGCTCTGCTTGTGAGGACCTGCCGGAGCCCAGCCTCCAGGCCATGAGGGTTCATTCCTTCACCAGGTAGTGATCGGTCATCTCCTGGCTCTGTCCTGGGAGGTGGAGGTGATGGTCCCGTCCTGCCCGTGCAGGTCACAGGCAGAGCTGTGTGCAAACAGACGCATCCACAGCCCTGCCCCTTCTGCCCACGGAGCCGAAGGGGCTGCACAGAGGAGACTGTGCCTGGACTAAGACCTTCAGCTTATGTGCCACCAATTCACAGCCACTTGTCTAGGGCCACCCTTGTTTTCCTATTTCTTGACCATGGGAGCTACGCTGGACAGGTTTCAGCATGTGCGTTGACTTGAGGAGCTCAGCGTGAGGCATAATGATGTCTGGCCTGCATGTCCTGGTCACGTGCTCCAAAGTGGGGGGTGGAGATGGTTGTGACTGACGCAGGAGGTGCAGCCACACAGCACATAGCCCCAGCCAGTGGACAGTGGAGTCCTTTCTGGGGAAGGGGAATGACAAGATCTGACAGCGTCACAGACAGACAGGCTGGTTCTGGGTGATGCGGGGGCAGGGCCTGCAGACGGGGCCAGGCGGGGCAGGTGGATGTGTTCAGAGCTCATCCTTACTGTCCTGCGATTCTCTGGCTTCCAACCATGCGGGCTGCGTGGGTCTGGAAGTCCAGTGAAGATGAGGCCCTCACGTACCAGAGCAGGAGGGCTTGTCACCCTCACACCTTGGCTGGGGCCTTCTGTTGGGGCCATCAGTGGAGTGGCAGGGCAAGGGGTAGGGATGACATTGCCACAGGTTGTTTTTTTGCTATCAGAACTGTCGTATGAAGTGGAGGTTTGATATTACAAACCCCTCAGCCGAATAAAAGATGCTGGGAATAGTATTGATCTTGTGTCTTTATCCAAAGAACCGAGTGTGGTTTGCAGATAGTGTAAACACCGTAGCCACGCTGCTGCCTTGTAGCTGTTTGAATAGAGAGGACAGTGCTGGATTCTGAGCAGATTTATGTGCAGCCTTTAAAAGTGTAGTCTTTATGGGTAATTGAGTTTTGGTTATAATTGCTTGGTACGAAACATTGTGTATGCAAATGTACATTTGTGAACATTTCTCTCCCTAGGTGATTCCCTACGTTGGCACCATTCCTGAGCCGTTGGATCCTGGAACTTTGATTGTGATACGTGGGCATGTTCCTAGAGATGCAGACAGGTAAGGTCATTGTATCAGAGGAAAGAACGTGAATGACCCATCTTTTTGTGATTGTGGGACAACAACAAGAAAGTCATGTGGGAGAGAACGCTGTGACATTTTAAGGCCTGATTGCTTTTATCAGCTGCCCTGACCAACGTGCTGAGGGATGGATGATGGAATAAAGGTTATTGGGACTTTCTATTTCATGGCTACAAGTCTGATTTCAATAGAAAGAATTCAATATATCGTTAAAGAGGGGCCTGTGGTCAGATGACCGGGACAGGGTAGTTACAGCACGCCCTACGGCGGAGGGCTTTACTCAGTGTCCAGCATTATCAGCTGCCCTGACCAACGTGCTGAGGGATGGATGATGGAATAAAGGTTATTGGGACTTCCTATTTCATGGCTACAAGTCTGATTTCAATAGAAAGAATTCAATATATCGTTAAAGAGGGGCCTGTGGTCAGATGACCAGGACAGGGTAGTTACAGCACGCCCTACGGCGGAGGGCTTTACTCAGTGTCCATCGGCGTTGGGCAGAGCTCCATGTGGCTGACACGAGGGAACCCCATCAAGTCGTTAGAGAAGTCACTTCTCAGCCCCCACTCTGCTGTCCCCAGGGCGAGGTCCTCTCCTGGTCCCTGGCAGCTAGAACTCCAGGCCTCCGTCCGTGACGTGGGCAGCTGGAGGGGGCATGCAGCGTTTGGGGGCGGGTGGAGGGCAGATCCCAGCCGACGGGAATGGCAGTTTCCGGGGATCAGGCCGAGTGGCATGGGAGCCTGGGGAGCTGGGTTCTCATGCGGGGCAGACTGGTCCCAGCTCACACCGGGGGCTGTCACTGAGGAAGAAGCGGAGGAAGGGCAGGCGCAGCTCTAGGCCGTATGGGCCAGTGGATGGGGCAGGACTGGGCCCGCAGCCCTCGGCCTGAGCTGGCGCCTGCGGCCTCCGCCGTCCTGCCCAGGGCTCACGTGGCCTGTCCTTTCCTTGTCTAGATTTCAGGTGGACTTGCAGTGCGGCAGCAGTGTGAAACCTCGGGCCGATGTGGCCTTTCACTTCAATCCTCGTTTCAAAAGGGCCAACTGCATTGTTTGCAATACTCTGACCAGTGAAAAATGGGGATGGGAGGAGATCACCTATGACACGCCTTTCAGAAAAGAGAAATCTTTTGAAATCGTGATTATGGTGCTGAAGGACAAATTCCAGGTGGGTTTTATGGAACGACAAGTTGAATCTTCCTTTGTGAGAATGGGTCACATTTGCGAACTCACCCTGACATTTCCTGAGTCTCAGGAATAGCTTGGCTTTGTAATTTTTCTCTAAAGGAGGACCAGGCAGGTCCCTAAATGTGAGGGGCACAGCCGCTTTCTCCAGCTGGCTGTTTCCACGGAGGAATACAGGGCCTGTGTGGTCAGATCTTTTTATTAGATCGTATGTCTGCGAGCAGTGCTGAGTCCTGAATGTGCACAGCATTATGTTCATTATGGGAGAGTAAATTATAACCATCGCCACCGGAGGTGTGGGGAAGTCTGGAACTAAGAGACAGACGGGGAACCCCAGTGTGGAAATCAGAGGCTCTTGCCACAAGACAGTTCTGAAGGTTCATGAAATTTTAGATCTGGAGGGGATCTTAGAAATCCTTTGTGCCGTAATTCCTGTCCCTGGCTTCATGGAATGTTTTACTCCTGGTGTGTATGTGTAAGGCAGAATGTGGTCCTAGAGGCTCTTGCACATCACCCCTCGAGCCTGTGGAGCTTTCCCAGGCTAGAGATTTGCACGGATCAAGTGAAGACTGGCATCTCTGGTGCAGATCCTCTCTGGTCACTGGGATACTGCTGCCACCAGGAAATCTCCTCAAAACCTCCTGAATTCCATTCCCCTCTCCTGTGGTCTTTGAGCCCTGTGTCTGCATCATTCCTTTAACAGTCATTCCTGGGCTGTGGTGCTTTGGTTTTAGCATATGTTTATTTCTCTCTCCAGTGGGATTTTAAGCTGCTTGAGTCAGAGACCATATTGTATCCTGCTTGTGTTTTCTGTACATAACTGATCTGGGTCCCTGGCATGTGGGAGGCAGGGGAAGGCGCCCTGTGTACTGGACCCCCTGCCCTGTGCCAGGCACAGTGCTGAGCATCGCAGAAGCTGCATTATCGTCTCCTTACAGCTGCAGCCCATTGAGGTAGAGATGTTCCTACTTACACATAAGAAAACAATCTCAGATGCATTGGGTGACTTGCCTGTGTTCATCCAGTCAGTAAATTCAACAACTGTTTATTGAGTGTCTGTCACAGGGGGTCCTGTCTCAGAGTGGGGTGCTCAAGGACGATCCATGGGGAAGACCTTGAACCTGGGTTCACAGGCCTCCCAGGTCACTGAGCAGGGGCTGTGGGGGGACCTTTGAACTTGGGATGGTGGCACATGAGAACACGCACATGTATTCACGTACATGTGTTTGGGGAAAGATGGTCCATGGCCGTTACTCAGATCAGGAACTCAAAAGAAGTTTGGAAACACTGCTGGTGCTGAGGTTGCTTTCAGTTACGACTTGGTCCGATGTGTGTCAGGACTTGCGGGGAAAGGAAACGTTTACATTTGGATAAGTTAGTTTACTAACTGTTCTGGGGGCTGTCTGCTGCGTCCGTCCAGGTGTCTGTCAATGGAGGACACGTTCTGCTGTACAGCCACAGGATTAGTCCCGAGAAGATCGACACCCTGGGCATTTACGGCAAGGTCAATGTCCACTCGGTCGGGTTCAGCTTCAGCTCGGTGAGTGTCCAGCCGCAGCCCAGGGTCTTTTCGATGATGCTTTCTGATGAAATGGTAGAAAACATCTTTAATATCTTCTATTGAGATAAAAATAATGTAAATATCTCCTTCATTAGAGTATCAGCTTCTTGGAAGGGAATCTTTCTGACTGGTAGGAGGCTATTTGTCAACCAGGGCTGTTGGTCTCTAGGGTCTCAACTTTAGTATGATTCTGTCAAAACAAGCAAGCAGGCAGACACCTTTTTAGCTAGGATAGGGGGCATTTCCTTTATGCGGAAGTACAATGGAGTATTTCTGCAAGGTGGCTTCCTAGAAGCGGAATGTCTGAGCCAAAGAGTATTTGCATTTGAAGTTCTGAGAAATACTGCTCGCTCGCCCCCCCGGAAAGGTGGAAACTGCCTGCTCTCTGCACAGCGGGGTCCCTCCGCCCCCATTCTTGCTGACATTAGCTTTTCTCTCCTTCACGTTTGCTGGCTTAATAAGCGCTCGCCCCCCCGGAAAGGTGGAAACTGCCTGCTCTCTGCACAGCGGGGTCCCTCCGCCCCGATTCTTGCTGACATTAGCTTTTCTCTCCTTCACGTTTGCTGGCTTAATAAGGGGGAAAAGGACCCCAGTGTTAAGTGCATTTTTATTTTTATTTTTTGTCTTTTGTCTTTTTCCGTGTCCGGCAACGGATCGCAACCCTCAGTGTTGCCCCCGTACCGGACCGGGAACCGGCAAC